CCCAACGCCCAGCCCACAACCCCCCCCAACGCCCTCGAGATCCAAACACTCAGTCCAAAGAAGACCCTCCGATGTTCGCGCCGGGATAGAAATTCTCGCAAACACCTTTGCCTTTGCCCTTGCCACGATGGTAGAGGCTGGTGCTGCTGACGTCGCCGTCATCTTCCCCCTCATCGGAGTCCTCGAAAACACGTTTGCCTTTGCCTTTGTCACGTTTGAAGGGAATGGCGCCGTCGTCGTTACTTTCCCCCTCATCGGTGATGGCGGTGCCGTCATCGCCGACAGCACCTTTGCTGCCACTCCCCTGATTGGCTCTACCCACATCCGCACATTCCTTGTTTCCACCCACGAGGTCGACCACCTTGTTGTAAAGGCGATGGGTTGGCGGCGAAGCCTTGGATGCCTTCGCTGCCTTCGCTTCCTTCGCTGCTGCCTTCGCTGCCTTTCTCTTCGCTGCTTTCTTCGCTTTCTTCACTGCCGCTGCCTCGCTGCTTTCTTCGAAGCTTTCGCTGCCTTCGCTGCCATTGATGCTGCCCTTACGTTCTGTCTCACGCTCTGTGCTGCCTTCGGTGCTTTCGATGGTGCTTTCGATCTTTCGCTGCCGCTGCCCTTTTCTCGAAGAAAATTTTGACCGCTTCTACATACACAGCGCCAGAAAGGCCGGGGGGGGAACTTACGGTTGCCACAACTTCCTCGCCAGGTACCCTGTACACATGGCCCTTGGAACACACGCCCACCACCTTGACCGCGGCATATGGTACTTTGAGCTGGTAGTACATACTTCCCGCGGCCGCGTGGTTCGTCAAGCGCGGGTAGGAGACGGTTTTCAGCTCTGGGTTTCTCAGGTCGTCGAGTGTTGTCGGGCGGAACTTCATTATCGGGCAATCTGTCCAGGAGTCCTCCGTTGATTTCCCCACAACTTCGTGTTGCTCCAGTAAGACGGTCTGAACACCCCACAATGTCTCAGGCCGCCTCCTGGCATGTGCAATGCGGCGTACTCCTCAGGAGACATCACCTTGGCAGAGCCCCCAGCAGCATCCTCCTCAGTCTCAGTCTCAGTGTCCTCCCCCTCCTCCACCTCCTCCTCCTCCTCCTCCTCCACTCCAGCCACTTCGCCTTCCCCCTCTTGTTGCACGGGTTGCACGGGATCCTCCTCCACTCCTGCAGAGCCCCCGACAGCGTCCTGTTCCTCCTCCACTCCCGCCACTTCGCCTTCCCCCTCTTGTTGCACGGGTTGCACGGGATCCCCCACCACTCCGGCACCTTCTCCAGACCCGCATCCAGCCGACTGTGACAACCCCTGGGGCTGGTAGAACCGATAGAGCCTATCGATGGCCTCCCTGAAGCTTTGTTGAGACCTGGAAAGAGACAAGAGAAACAAACACAATTTATCTTCTGCCAAGATTTCCCCACTGACGCCGCATTCAAGTAGCCAACACTATACTTTTAACCAACAAGATTGTTTAGGAATATAGGGCATGTGCTCACATCCGGTTCACCGCCAACGAATGGATCTTGTGCAGAAAGTCGTAGTGTCCGAAGTAGGCGCTCTCTTGCAGACGGGTCACCCTCCCTTCGTCCAACCCATACGTGCTGATTCGCGTTGCTACCGTTCCAAAGTCACGTAGTACATCCTCCATTCTGCGGTCTGGTCGGCACATTGGAGAGTGGGCGGTGTTGTACGTGAGAGACCAGGGCGTGTGAGAATGAGAATGAAAATGTAGAGTGTGTAACAAAGGAGCCGAGGGGCGTCAGGGCCAACACCAATGAGAGAGTATACTTTCATACTTTGGTTCTCTGCCCTCCGCGCTCGAGAGCTCTTTTTTCGCGATCGCTCTGCTCCTAGACCTCGTCTCGGTGTGGGACTCGCGTGCAGCGATAGCCCTGAGACGCGAGGACCTTGCCAGCGTGCGGCTCGCGATCGGGGCGGCCGCGGCGTCGCGGTAGCAAAGGGTGCAAACTCGCGCTGCGACCGGTTCTGTGACGTCACGCTTCGCAGCGTTCGGCGGCGTGCGTT